CAACCCAGGGGACACTAAAGAGTGACGCACACAGCTGGGAGACCAGAGGACACTAAAGAGTGACGCACACAGCTAGGAGACCAGGGTTGCGGTCGAATACTCCAAAAAAACAGCTCCTAAGTTCTAACCCTATCGTCTATTCCTTGACCTCGGAGTGAAACGTCACGGGGTTAAGGGATAGTGGATAGGAGAATTCAAAAGGATTTAGGAGAAGAGACTGCGGTACTTTAGAGAATCCGACTGCACTTTCACTATCCGACGTGTTTATGATGCGCCAGCGGAGGTCATGAATGTGCGCCTGCTGCTGTGGGGAAACTATGGAAACTACAGTTTTCTATACAGCGGACTACAACATGGATGTTTAATAAGAACGAGGGACTACTGTAAACTCATCTAGAGACTCTGCACCGTGCTCTGATGCTGTTGTTTTATGCTTTATGAACGGGGACAACAGAGAAACATATTCTTCATGACCAAAGTTGGAATTGAAATAAAAAAGGAAAGTGAAACTTATGCTCGTCACCCTCTCCCTCCGGTCCACATTAATACAAATGATCCCAATACGTATGATTGTATGAAAAGATCTTAAAATCAATACAAATGTATTTATTATAAACGTTAGTCCTTAACATCTATCACTATGTATATCACCATTCAAACATCTTTTAAAAGTTGAACAAACCCCACACAGCTCAGTAAAGACTGTGAAATATTGACTTTATTTGATCATTTCAGTAAAAACTAACGTTTGTAGTGATCACTAATTAACTGGGTTACATAATTCACTCATGGAACTACAGGTTGGGGGTATTGTTCCGCACGGACACAAATGTTGACTGTACCTCCTGTGTACTTACTGCGTGTCCTCCCTTTCGCTTTCTCTTCTCTTCTCGGGCTGCGACCCGACAGCATGTCCATTTCTGCTGCTCATTAAAGCCAGATTTGCACCTTCGATGCACCGCCTCCGACTCCCTTCTCTCGGCACTACATTGGTGACCCCGACATAAGTCTCGCGAAGGTTCCGAAACTGAACCGAACGCGGCAAAAAACACTGTTTTTCTCGGAATGCCGGAGATTTTTGGAGACGTCCGTGGCTGCCACGTGCACACGGACTGAGGCTCGGTGCGCCCCACGGAATGGCTGAGGACGTCGCTCGCCATTCCCGCGACCTGCTAGGTATGGAGGAACCCGACTTCTACCTCGTGGAGCTGTTTCTTCGGGACATGCGGCTGCATGTCCAGGCTGCGCTGGCTAACACGGCTAGTGTTGAGCCCCGCGCTTTGGCCGAAGAAGCTAGCCGGTTCTTCCTGGCCGCCCGGCGATTTACCCCTGAGGTGCTTGCCACTGCACGCTGCAGCACCTTCCCTGGTGGGGGCATGCCGCCTAGCAGAGGCTCCGGGGCCGACGACGACGACAGCGACTAACGGCCGCCGAGAACGGCTAGCCACGACTGCTAACAGCTAGCAGCTACCAACGGCTACCGACAGCTAGCCACGACAGCTGACGGCTAGCAGCTACCAACGGCTAACGACGACAGCTAGCAAGGGCTAACGACGACAGCTAGCAACGGCTAACGACATCCGACTGTTTTGTTTTTTTGTTTTTTTTTGTGGTGCCGGAGGGGGGGTTCGATCAAGTCTGGTCGGCCCCATGTGGATCCTCTCACAATTTCGCCCACTTGTTTTTGATCGTGGACGGGACGACCCTTTTGAGCTTTTTCTGGTGCCTGAGAGGAGGTTCGACCATGTCTGGTCGGCCTCGTGTGGACCCTCTCGCTTTTTCACCACCTCGACGGCGGCTTCGGACGTCGCCCATGCCTTCATCGGCCCGTGGGTGGCGCGCTTCGGGACCCTGTCTGGCCTCTTCCCTCGCCTCGGTGGTTTCGGACGTCGCCCATGCCTTCATCTGCCCGTGGGTGGCGCGCTTCGGGACCCTGCCTGGCCTCACCTCTAACCGCGGCTCACGGTTCGCCTCGACGGCGGCTTCGGACGGCGCCCCGTCTGGCCTCTCCCCTGTCCACGGCTCCCTCCTCCCGGGGACACGGCTCCTTCCTCCCGAGGACTTCGTACCCGCCGCCGCTGTGCCTTCGCCTGCGGCCGAGCAGCGCTCCTCCCTGCTGGGGACCACCGGGGTGTTCACGCCTGTCCCCACGTCACAACACATCGACCCTGCTTTCTGCGGCCCCCTGACGACGGCCCGTTCCGGCCCGCCCCCCACCCCCCGGTGGGGATGCCCTCGCCCTCGTTAGGGCCCCTACCCTCGCCTGCGGCCCCACCCTCCTCGGCCCCTGTGGTGCTTCCTCCCGGACGCGAGGATTGTGTCCATGGTTGAATTCTGGGGGGGCTTGTGTAGTGATCACTAATTAACTGGGTTACATAATTCACTCATGGAACTACAGGTTGGGGGTATTGTTCCGCACGGACACAAATGTTGACTGTACCTCCTGTGTACTTACTGCGTGTCCTCCCTTTTGCTTTCTCTTCTCTTCTCGGGCTGCGACCCGACAGCATGTCCATTTCTGCTGCTCATTAAAGCCAGATTTGCACCTTCGATGCACCGCCTCCGACTCCCTTCTCTCGGCACTACACGTTCATATTTCTCTTTTTGATTATAATACTGATGAACGTTCAAAACAAAGCACTTTGGCAACTTACCACATACGTTTTAAAATGCTTAATAAGCACCGTAACTTTCATGATATCATTTCTCGGTCATAATCGGTTGTTTCCGTGAACGGCCGACTGTTGTGTGACGGCAAATGCCGCGGCCGCAAGGCATTGTGGGGCAGCATTTTCTCCTCTCCTTTCGGTTAGGGAGGTCCAGTGGTTCCTAAGATAAAGGAGGTTAGAGGAAGTTTGAAACCTCCTTTCCTTTTAATTTAGAGAATTCGAACGGCACTTATCATGGCTGCCACTGAGGGACTTCCGGGTCATTTCACTCCGTTAGGAAGGTTCCTAAGCTAAATGGACTATTCGACCGCAACCCTGGGGACACTAAAGAGTGACGCACACAGACCTTTTCATGACCTTTATGACCTTTACCATAGGCTACTATCATTTATTTTTCACTTTTTATAACATACATTTCTACAACATACTATACCTTTTTAGAGTTTGATGACATACTAAACTCAGGCTATTCTATAACTTTGATGACTTCTTTATGAATTTTTGGGATAATGTGCAGCGACGCGGTCATTATGGGGAAAAGAACACCGACAGGCTGATCAGGAGCCCGACGCAAAGCGGAGGGATCTAGATCTGCATGAATTACTACATTATCCCGCTTATCACACGGCCACATTCTCAACAAAGTAACGATATGACTCCCAATATTAATTGAAATGCTTTTATGGATTTAGAAAATGATTTTATTGATTTAAAAAATAGTTGTATGTATTGATTTAAATTGACATGCATCCGCTAAGAAAGATAGTCCGTTGTTACCGTTTGAAAAACGTAGCAACGGCAGGAAGGCGGAGCTTTTTGATTACAGATTTGAAAACATCGTTGCTTGCTTTAAAAGTAGCACAATTCATTATGTCAAACCTTGGAAAGTATCTAGATATCCCTGCCCTAATGCCAAAGGAACTGCACACTGAATATGTTGTGCCGTTTGATGTCTATGTCTGGACCGCTGCGTAAAAAGGAGGGTTTCTGCCCGTTACTTCTCCGCTGTTTTATTGTCGCTCTTGTCTTGTCAGTTCGAAAACCAAACTGTATACAGTTAAATCGAACGGACTTCTTTGTGCAGATGTGAGCGTCCTTAACAACGGTCAATAAATCCTTGACAGCGGTCTGTCTGTTCTGGATTAACAATGTTCTGAATTGACCAATCAGAATCAAGTATTCAACTAAGCCATGTAATAAGACTTTATATAACATACTAATCTATGAATGTTTCCAACATGCTATTGTTTGACACTTTCATTACATTTTTATCATTAACTTGACATACTGTATATTATGACTGTTTCCAACAAACAACACTCTGGCCCTTTCTCATTTCTCTAACTCCCCTCCTCGACTCCCCCTCCTCGACTCCTATCCTCGTGTCTTAGTCCCACCCACAAGAGTCGAGGAGGGGAACCGAGGAAATAGGAGTCGAGGAGGGGAGCCGAGGAGAGAGGAGGGGAAGCAGCAGGCGGTTAGAGAAATGAGAAATCCTCTCTGAGTGGTCATTTTAAAGAGACGTCCATTAATGATGACAGGAGGCACAGCAGCCCTCTGTCTGATGGACAGATGTGTTCATGACGACTTATATATTTACTTTTAATTCATTCACAGTGCGGTATAATGAGACAATAACAGGCTACAGATGCGGACACACACACACATGTATTTATATAAATATATACAATTTCAGATTCAAACAAGTATGAGAGCACTCTCATAATAACGTAACACAATCAGAGACTGGATATATCCCCCAGAGGACCCGCGGAGGACCCATCAGTGTATCCTCCGTTATAGCTCCACCAGAGAGCCTCCTCTCTCCTCTCTCTTCTCTCCTCTCTCCTCGGTTATAGCTCCTCCAGAGAGCCTCCTCTCCTCTCTCCTCTCTCCTCGGTTATAGCTCCTCCAGAGAGCCTCCTCTCCTCTCTCCTCTCTCCTCTCTCCTCGGTTATAGCTCCTCCAGAGAGCCTCCTCGACGCTCGATCCTCGGTCCTCGATGTGTATTTAGAGAAATGAGATGTCCTTCAACATGGCGCGCTGAAATCCATTTCCGGGTCACTACCGGAGGACCGAGGAGTCGAGGAGTCTTTGAAATGAGAAAGGGACTCTGACTTTTTTGTTTATTTGTATGACTTTTTATGACTTACTGTACTATTCGTTTTCGTGACATACTATACTGAGACTTTTTTATGACTTACTGTACTATGATATTTGCATGTCTTTTATGACACACACTATAAAATAAAACATATTTCGACAACATTTAATCCAAACACAACTAGAAGACATCCACACAGTTAACAAAAAACACTTCACAGCATGAACTGCATTTATAAAATTTATTTATATAGATATATTCATCTATGCAGTAATGTATGATATTTATATTTATATATAAATCTACGCATCCTGCTGTCCTTTCACAGAACAGAAGCACAACGACAGAAGCTCTGGATATTAAAGGCCAGACGTTCTGCGTTCATCGACAGGAAACAAAAACAGCCTTTAAATTACAATCACTTCAGTGACGTTACAATCATTCTTCATCTGGAACAGTCCTATTTCACTTTAACTACACTCAGCTAAAGTCTGTACATGTTTATCCAAGCGAGTGGGAGTTGTGGTCGCTGCCAAATATACCTTATTGTGTCTTAAATATCTCCATGTATTCAGTGTTTCTGTATCGTCCACTGATGCACGAGCAGAAATCAGCAAGCACTAGAGACACTGATGCTTTTAAACTCATCACAATGCCCAAATCATTTAGAAATAATCACACGCTATGGACAACAACAACTTGCATGTGAGATAAGACTTTTTAAACTTCCCTAATTCATTCAGATTTAAAACATTCATAGCAGCTTTACGTCCACATTCCTCTCATTATCGTCTGCTTTTTTTAAAGTCTTAACTCCACAGTATTTTTTCCAGCTTATCAAACAGCATTTGAATCTCCCGTTCGTTGAAAGTATACACAAGTTTCTCCTCGCTATAAATCAAAAAGCAGTCACATATTGCACTATGAATGCAGAAATACCAGCTTACACTATACAGAAAAGTGCTTCTAATGTTTATCCACACACACAGGATGCTACACACAAACACAGGAACACACACACATCGATCAGTGTGTCTTTTTACCGTCACACAGCCCTACAGTACAGTACATTTTATGGTCTCCCCCTCCCTTTTAAATGTCACTTTTCAGCTTTAAGAGGTGTAATTGGGTGGGGGAGTTATTTTTACAGTTCTTCAAGTATTAGAGGAAGGTTCAGGAATGGACTTTGAAGGCCAGCAGCTCCTCTGAGTGCATGTTGTTGAGCGAGCGAAGGTCGGGAAGTTTGAGAAGCAGCTTGGTGAAAACGGCCGATTCGTTGGGGGGGTGGTTTTTGGTGATTAAACTGCGCAGAGTTCGGATCAAAGTCTCCTGAAGCGCCTCCACAGAGTTCACGTTCTCGATGCCCGAGCGATCTGTGGAGGACAGGAAGAGATCATTTTATGTGTTAAAAATAACTCAAATCAATGATCATGTTATAATGGGTATAGAGGTTGTCGGATGCCAAACTAATGAAGGTTTCATAAGATATAGTTATATATTGGGCCATGAAGAAATGTCATCATAAAGTAATCAATCAATCAAAATGTATTTATAGAGCCCAATATCACACATTTTACCTTAGTGGACTAATGAAACTCAGCGCAAGTTCAACCAGGAAGACCGTCTTTACTAATCCATTTACTATTTTTACGTTACTACTCTCTCTCCTCTCTAAGTGATCGGGGGCGTCACTCCCCAGCTTAACCAATCACTTCGCTCTATTCTCACAAGCCTATCATAGCGCTCCGCTAACCCTTTTAAATCTGCTCTCCCCTCTGACAGCTGTCATTTCAGGTGACTCGACGCAACCCTCCTCCACCCCTTCTCACCTCCTGTCCCTCTGAATCCAGGGTCAAGCTAAGCCCCTCCCCTTCAGACCGAACCCAACTATCCATTCACCACCACCAGGGTCAAGCTAAGCCCCTCCCCTTCAGACCGAACCCAACTATCCATTCACCACCACCAGGGTCAAGCTAAGCCACTCCCCTTCAGACCGACCCCAACTATCCATTCACCACCACCAGGGTCAAGCTAAGCCACTCCCCTTCAGAACGACCCCAACTATCCATTCACCACCACCAGGGTCAAGCTAAGCCACTCCCCTTCAGACCGACCCCAACCATCCATTCACCACCACCAGGGTCAAGCTAAGCCACTCCCCTTCAGACCGACCCCAACTATCCATTCACCACCACCAGGGTCAAGCTAAGCCCCTCCCCTTCAGAACGACCCCAACTATCCATTCACCACCACCAGGGTCAAGCTAAGCCCCTCCCCTTCAGACTGAACCCAACCATCCATTCACCACCACAAGGGTCAAGCTAAGCCCCTCCCCTTCAGACCGACCCCAACTATCCATTCACCACCACCAGGGTCAAGCTAAGCCCCTCCCCTTCAGACCGAACCCAACCATCCATTCACCACCACAAGGGTCAAGCTAAGCCCCTCCCCTTCAGACCGAACCCAACTATCCATTCACCATCATTAGGGTCAAACTAAGCCACTCCCCTTCAGACCGACCCCAACTATCCATTCACCACCACCAGGGTCAAGCTAAGCCCCTCCCCTTCAGACCGACCCCAACTATCCATTCACCACCACCAGGGTCAAGCTAAGCCACTCCCCTTCAGACCGAACCCAACTATCCATTCATCACCACCAGGGTCAAGCTAAGCCCCTCCCCTTCAGACCGAACCCAACCATCCATTCACCACCACCAGGGTCAAGCTAAGCCCCTCCCCTTCAGACCGAACCCAACTATCCATTCACCACCACCACGGTCAAGCTAAGCCCCTCCCCTTCAGACCGACCCCAACTATCCATTCACCACCACCACGGTCAAGCTAAGCCCCTCCCCTTCAGACCGACCCCAACCATCCATTCACCACCACCAGGGTCAAGCTAAGCCACTCCCCTTCAGACCGACCCCAACTATCCATTCACCACCACCAGGGTCAAGCTAAGCCCCTCCCCTTCAGAACGACCCCAACTATCCATTCACCACCACCAGGGTCAAGCTAAGCCCCTCCCCTTCAGACTGAACCCAACCATCCATTCACCACCACAAGGGTCAAGCTAAGCCCCTCCCCTTCAGACCGACCCCAACTATCCATTCACCACCACCAGGGTCAAGCTAAGCCCCTCCCCTTCAGACCGAACCCAACCATCCATTCACCACCACAAGGGTCAAGCTAAGCCCCTCCCCTTCAGACCGAACCCAACTATCCATTCACCATCATTAGGGTCAAACTAAGCCACTCCCCTTCAGACCGACCCCAACTATCCATTCACCACCACCAGGGTCAAGCTAAGCCCCTCCCCTTCAGACCGACCCCAACTATCCATTCACCACCACCAGGGTCAAGCTAAGCCACTCCCCTTCAGACCGAACCCAACTATCCATTCACCACCACCAGGGTCAAGCTAAGCCCCTCCCCTTCAGACCGAACCCAACCATCCATTCACCACCACCAGGGTCAAGCTAAGCCCCTCCCCTTCAGACCGAACCCAACTATCCATTCACCACCACCACGGTCAAGCTAAGCCCCTCCCCTTCAGACCGACCCCAACTATCCATTCACCACCACCAGGGTCTAGACCCGGGGGGTTTCATCGGATCGGTTCTCCCCTCCCGAATGATACTCCTGCACAACGGGGCCTACTCGCCAAAACTCCATTACATTCATTTGTGTATTCCTGGCAATAAATATGTATTCTTATCAAAACCGTCTCTCCTGATTGAATACAGTTTGTACAGAATATGAATACGACACTAAATGCCATAACAAATGCTATTGTTTTGAATGTTTTGAATGTTATAGTATGGTAAAGACACTACTAACTCTGCTTTGGTCTTGGTAGAAAAGATACAAAATGAGTATTAAGCATAAATCTTATTAAAGCTTTCATTTTATGAGTTAAAAATAACTCAAGAGGGTGGTAAGAGATTGTCAAATGCTAAAATGATAAAAGTATTATAAGAAATATCATAAAATAGTGTGTCATAAAAAGTTATACTATAGTGTGCCTTTTAAAAAGCAGCCTTAAGCATTTGCATTTTTTGTCAAATCAAGAATAAGTATTAAGCATACATCGTGAGACAGGGCCGCCCCTGGCCAACTTGTGGCCCCACGCATATGTGATGAGGGGGGGGTGCTAGTGGAGCCATGTATTTTCATACTGTAAATGATCCATAAACAGCGCCCCCTACCTGCAGAAACCAGTACCACGGCAGTGAAGAGGCTCATCTCCTCCTCGCTGAGTCCCAGATTTACGAGTTTCTCGCTGAAGTCGAACATGGAGTTGAGGAGGTCTCCGGCCCCCATGGCTCTCAGAGTCTCTACGCCGTACCTCTTTCCCCCCAGGAAGGTGACGCTGTGATCCTTCACATCGAAGAGAGAAGCAAAACGCACCACCAGCACCTGCAGAGAAACAAAACACACCTCAAAAACACACCTCAACAACACACACCTCAAACACACCCCTCAAACACACACCTTAACACCCCTCAAACACACACCTCAAACACACACTTCAAAAACACCTCAAACACACACTTCAAAACACCTCAAACACACACCTCAAACACACACCTCAACAACACACCTCAAACACCTCAAACACACACCTCAAACACACACCTCAACAACACACCTCAAACACCTCAAACACACACCTCAAACACCTCAAACACACCTCAAACACCTCAAACGCCTCAAACACACCTCAAACACACACCTCAAACACACACCTCAAACACACACCTCACACACACCTCACACACACCTCAAACGCCTCAAACACACCAAACACACACCTCACACACACACACCTCAAACACACACCTCAAACGCCTCAAACACACCTCAAACACACCTCAAACACACCTCAAACACACCTCAAACACCCAAACACACCTCAAACACACACCGCAAAACACACCGCAAACACACCGCAAACACAACCGCAAACACACACCGCAAAACACACGCAAACACACACCGGCAAACAACCTCAAACACACCTCAAACACACACCTCAAACACACACCTCAAACACACCTCAAACACACACCTCAAACACACCTCAAACACACCTCAAACACACACCTCAAACACACCTCAAACACACCTCAAACCACACCTCAAACACACACCTCAAACACACCTCACACACACCTCAAACACACACCTCACACACACCACCTCACACCTCAAACACACACCTCACACACACACCTCACACACACCTCAAACACACACCTCAAACGCCTCAAACACACCTCAAACACACCTCAAACACACACCTCAAACACCTCAAACACACCTCAAACACACACCTCAAACACACCTCAAACACACCTCAAACACACACCTCAAACACACCTCAAAACACACACCTCAAACACACCTCAAACACACCTCAAACACACACCTCAAACACACCTCAAAACACACCTCAAAACACACCTCAAACACACACCTCAAACACACACCTCAAACACACACCTCAAACACACCTCAAAACACACACCTCACACACACACCTCACACCTCAAACACACACACACCTCACACACACACTCAACGTGGTCTGTGTTTTGTTTTTATGTTAACCTTACCGTCTGCCTCATGTTCTTATTGTATTCGTGTTTCTGTGGTCTTCATTTTAACTTTTGCTCTTTCTTGTGAAGCACTTTGTGAATTTTATTTCTGTGAAAGGTGCTATACTAAATAAACGTATTATTATTATATTATTATTTTACCTCGAAGGTGCCGGCCTTCAGCAGGCTGACCTGGTCGTGTTGACACAGATCTCTGAAACCCGGGATCTTCTTAGCGAACTCCACCACCTCCCTGACGGCGGGGGTGAAACTGTGAGAGAAATCCTCCCAAACCTCGTGTCCCGACTTGTGAGGGTCCACGTGAGGAGAAGTGTTCATCGGACACACCTGAGGAGAGAAGAAAGAGAGAGAGGGAGGATATTCAACTGTGTTCGTTCTGATGTACCCTATGGGGAAGAAATTACAAACTACATTTTGTATATTAATAAAGAAATCTCTGTCTCTCACCAGGTGCATCCTGTTGCCTCCTCTCCACGGGGGGGCGCTGTAGGCAGTGTTTACAGGACCCTCAGGGGGCGGAGCTACAAAGGCTGCGTGTGTGTAGGGGGTGGAGCCTCTGGACCCCCTGAAGGGGCAGTGGGTGGGAGGGTGCGTGGCCTCCTGGGGGCCCTGCAGGGTCACCATAATGTTGTTGTTGTGGTTCCAGGTGTCCTGAGGGGGCGGGGCCTCAGCGGAGGGGGGCAGGGCCTCAGCGGAAGGGGGCGGGGCCTCCTGGTTGTACATGAAGGTTTCCTGATGGGCCCGAGTCACGGAGCCAATCGCCTCCTCTGATAGGCTGTCAGACGCACAGGGAGAGGAAGAGCTGGTGTCCATGGCCACGCCCACGTCTGATTGGCTGGAGCGAGGGCAGGGGGCGGGGCCTGCGTTCTCTGAGGTAGCGTCATTGGCTGGGAGAGGGCAGGGCAGCATGGGGCCCCCGATCAGCTGGTTTTGGTGGATCTGGCCCACGAGAAGCTGGTTCTGGCCCACGAGCAGCTGGTTCTGGTTCTGGTTGTTCATCATGTTGTTCATGGCGCTCTGCATCTCCAGGAGCATCCGCTGCTTCTCTCGCTTCGGGATCCGCCCGAAACGCACCGCTGAGGAGAGGGAGGGAATATATTTGAGAGGGACTCACCTTTAGAGGGGCGTACGTTACAATACAATACAAGACAATACAAAGGGGTTTGTTTGTATTGATGGTTTATCCTGCAGTACTCATGTTTTATGGTCCAGTATTGATGTTTTATTGTTCAGTACTCACAGTCCCGGGACATCCCCACCAACAGGCACTTCTTGAAGCGGCACTGCTGGCAGCGGTTCCTGTTGATCCTCATGATGGGGCAGCTCTCGTTCTTAAGGCACTTCTTATACTGGATGTTCTGCTGGATGCTCCTCCGGAAGAAGCCCTGCGATCAGAGACAACATGTAACGGTCATTAAAGGTCATTAAAGGCGTTTGAAAAAGGGTTGGTAGAGGCGTTTCCTGGACTCAAAGGAGTTTTATTTTAGGTGTTTTTGGATAAAGTTAAAATGACAATGTCCTTATGTACCTATCTTTTTACCTTAAAACTTATTCTGAAGCATTTCAAAATTGTTTTGCTTTAATTAAACTGTACAAAAGTGCACATATTATAGGTACCGTGTGCTGTGCATGAATATATCAATATCACTATACATCTATTTGTGAGTTTCAGTAAAACTTTAGAACATTGGCTAACTCTAAAGTTGTCTGTTTGTCCGTATTGTGGTGTGTGTGTGTCACAGTTATGTAGGCCACTCAGCAGTATGCAGGGATATTAATATGAGCAGAGTGAACTACTTTCTCTGAGTCTCTGCTTGTTGCCGTGCAGTGACCCACTTCAACTGAACTGTGTGTGTGTGTGTGTGTGTGTGTGTGTGTGTGTGTGTGTGTGTGTGTGTGTGTGTGTGTGTGTGTGTGTGTGTGTGTGTGTGTGTGTGTGTGTGTGTGTGTGTGTGTGTGTGTGTGTGTGTGTGTGTGTGTGTGTGTGTGTGTGTACCTTGCAGCCCTCACAGGCGTGCACCCCGTAGTGGAAACCAGAGGCCACGTCCCCGCAGACTTTACACAGCAGAACCAGGCCGTTGATTTCTGATTAATGCACAAACAAAAACATCAGAAAAAGTAACCAAAAAATACTGCAAACGTGTCGAGGACAGTACATAGGTACATTTAATTAAGCACAGTAATTAAGGTAGGTAGGTAGGTAGGTAGGTAGGTAGGTAGGTAGGTAGGTAGGTAGGTATCTAGGTAGGTAGGTAGGTAGGTAGGTAGGTAGGTAGGTAGGTAGGTAGGTAGATAATACATAGTTAGATAGATAGACAGACAGACAGACAGATAGATAGAGAGATAGAGAGATAGATAGATGGATAGATAGATAGATAGAGAGATAGATGGATACATTTTGTTACAGGACCAGTGTGCTCAACATTAAAATACAGATACTTAAAAGTGGAAAAGAGTTAGAAATGTAAGTTAAATGAAAATGAAAAATAGTATATCAATCACTATAAACAATATACACAATTCTGGATGATTAAAATGTTCTTTAAAAAAAGCTCAAAAATACTGCAGTAGCATATAGCGGTATATAAACTCACATTGAGTATTTCCTTTTTATTCTACTTTATACTTCTACTTAATGCACAATTTCATCGTTGTACCTTTAATCTAAATGTATTTTTTACATGTCTACTGTTTGTATGTCTTTCACTGGTAACTGTATTCTGTGTGCCCATTATAGAGAGACCAAACGTACTTGTGATGCCACATTTCGCGGTGGAAGTGGAGGAGGAGGAGCGTCCGGTTTTCTGGGTTACAGGCAGGACTTTGGGGGTGGGTGAGGAAGAGGAGGGGAAGCTGCCGTTGGAGGAGTCGCTGTGGCAGGACTCTGGGCTGGAGGTGGAGGAGCTGATGTAGGCTATTACGCCCCCTGGTGGAGGAGAGAGGAACAGGAGGATTACAGGACTGCAGACACACAATCCTTTCATTTCCTTTCGATGTTCTACTTTCTGCAGGTGGTGCTTTCCTCTCTGTATGTTTGCATGCCCACTTCCTGCATTACATGCCCAGTATCTGCTTCACTACAGCAGCAACTGAGACGCTTCCTCCTCTCACACAGGCTGACCTCATTTCTTCCACAGAGATTAGGTAACAGCTTTATATAATGTCAGCTTCACAAGGGTGTGAGCCAGGTGGAGAGGCCTGTCCCTGCAGTCGTTTAAAGTCCATCAATGATACCAAATCTAGTGCTGAATCGGTTTTATTTACCCTGACAAAATATACGCTTCCTCTCATTTCAGTAGACATTGAATATGGGGCATTTTGACGATTTGCAGACACACATTGACCATACATAGATAACAGTGCTTGCAAAAAGTGGGATAGGAAATGTGTCGATTAGATTTGTAAAAATATGAATCATTACAATTTTCTTATTTTATAATATTATTTATATATTTTTTTAGTATATGTTACTTGTTCCTGCATACCCATTGAAGGAGGAGCCTGGGATTTTGGATTTCCATTGACAAAAAACTGCATTGTGTCTGTCGTTGCATTTGACAATAAAGCTTTATATATTTTAATTTTTAATCTTTAAAGAGCATTTCCCTGTGTTTATTAATATATAGCATTTCAATAAATATGTTGGCATTAGTAGAACGATAATACTTCTTGTTTTGTATTCATGTTATCCACATTTGATAAACCTGGAAAACTGAATGCAGAAATGCTGCATTCAGGTCCCATGGGAAATGTCACAATTTCAACACCCACAAGGCAATGGGAGACATGTAGATCAAATTAAATCAGATATTTTAACGTATGTAAGTCTTAAACTTCTAGTAAATGTCATGAATGTATTCAAAAGCATTCATTTTAGTTTTTTTAAGGGAATGTAACACACTATGTATTTGAAAATATCTAATTTCAATAAATATACAATGTTAATATCAACCCCAGTGTTTAGATTATACATCATTACATGAACACTGGGTAACATGTCATTTCTAGAGATATTCTACAACCAACGACCCTGAATAACACTGTATAACCTACAACGAGCATCGTGTATCCCATTATCCCCATGGTCCTTGAAAGCAGCACACACTATGAAAGTTTTCTTTTTTTTTTTAAAACACGCCCCCACGTGGTGCATACATGTTTTTTTTCCCGGGGTAACTGGGTCAGCGCAGGCCTCACGTGTACCCGCGGCGAGACGTCACACAATCTGACGGATGGAATTATGCAACGGCGCCTTTCAGCCAATCAGAGACGACGTAAGGGGAGCGTAAACACAGGTGCACATGGCTAGGCTGCTGGGTCCATGTGAGGACAGAGGACTGCAGTGCTGACCCAGTAATAACAACACAATACTAGCAATAACCTTTATATATATTACCACAAGTACCTTATTTAATATTTAACATAATTAATCTTTAAACAGAGACTTTAAAAAATGTAATACAAGCCGGTTTCCCATTTCCATTTAAATGTGAATTAAATCCCACTTACCAGCTTTGGTCGACTCCATATCCGTTATTTTGTGTATTTTCTGGGGGGTTTTCCTCCTCCTGTGCTACCTCAGTGCTGAAGCCGTGTTTTCTGTGTTTGTGTTCAGCAACTGGGAAGTCGCTGATTTATCCCGGTGGAAAAAAATCGCTATAACATTGAAATGAACCACACCTAAACCTGGCAATTAAAATAAACAATGCGAAATAAATACCCCGTCAGTGACAGACTCGATATTAGAAATATGGGTTTGAAACGACAGCAAAATGGCCGGTCTCTCGTCCTGGATGCTGTTTCTTTGCTAAATTCCGGCAGGAAATAAAACCGCAGCTCGAGATTTTTCTGTGTTTTTTGGATTTAAATGGAGGTATTCCGCTTCCCATTGACAGAAACAGGCTGGATGCAGAGAAGCAGCTCGGCTCCTGGTTGTTCAGATGCTGTTTCTGGTCTGGTGTGAAGCCATGTGACCCAGAAACAGCCTCACATCCCGGCTCCTCCCCTCAAAGTAACCCACTGACACACTTTCTGAACCGGCACCGGATCATGTTATATATCCCCCGTTATATAGCCGGTAAAACCTCTAATTATACATCCATGTGTAATTAGAGGTAGAGGGGGGAGGAGTACTCAGATCTGGTGCTTTAGTAAAAGTAGAAGTACTCAGATCTGGTGCTTTAGTAAAAGTAGAAGTACTCAGATCTGGTGCTTTAGTAAAAGTAGAAGTACTCAGATGTTGTAATTTAGTAAAAGTAGAAGTACTCAGATCTGGTACATCAGTAAAATAAGAAATACTCGTCAGAACTGGTACTTGAACTCAGCTATTGTACTTGAGTAAAAGTAGAATTACTCAGATCTTGTACTTCAGTAAAAGTAGAAGTACTCAGGTCTTGTACTTGAGTAAAAGTAGAAGTACTCCGATCTTGTACTTGAGTAAAAGTAGAAGTACTACGATCTTGTAGATCCTGTACTTAAGTAAAAGTAGAAGTACTCAGATCTTGTAGATCCTGTATTTAAGTAAAAGTAGAAGTACTCAGATCTTCTGATTAAAGTCTGATTTAAGAGATGATTATATTTCACATCATTAATCCAAATCTGTAAAGTAACTAAAGGTATTAAATACATGTAGTGGAGTAAAAGTACAAAGTAGCATTAAATGTAAATAATCGTACTACTAATACGTAATACTTGTACTTTTCTTGAGTAAGATAAGATAGATCAATAAAGTACTTCTTATCTATCTTATCTTATCTTACTCAAGAAAAGTATAAGTACCTCAAAATTGGACTCAAGTACTTAGTTACTTTACACCTCTGCATAATGCTCAACCTTAATGGTTAGCATTTACATCTGTATTAAAGTACATGACAGGAAACTTGATTAAAGTGTTTTGTGAATTCCTGACGTAGGAGAACCTGCAGATGCAACACAATAAATAAAATGTCATTTCTTATTTTCAGGTTAAATGCTGCTGCAGTGATTCAGCTACGTAAGGAAATGAGGCAGCACCAAAATAACTGAGATTTCTAAAAACAGAATCAGGGGATCAGAGTTTTATAATTTTGATTAAAATAATATTTATGAGTCTGTGAGCATACACAGATTTTAGTGCAGAATCCTGTTCAGAATCTGTTTTTTCGCTACCAGTTATAACAGTTATCAGTAGTATTGTTTTTAAAGTTTTTTAAATGGTCTCAACATTGACAAAAAATAAGTAGAAGTACCTCATCATTTTACATAAGCACTTAAAGGTCCGCTATTATGCAAAATCCACTTCTTCATGTGTATTCTAGTAAATTGTCAACGGGGGTGGGAGATGCTAGTGACTTATCCGACCGGCCCACATTGGTACCGGCCCATCGGGATTTGTCCCGAACGTCCTGATGGCCAGTCTGCCACTGCCCCTCTGTGTAAAGAGACTCTCTCTTTACTCAGAGGGGACACATGTCTCTACATCAACATGTGTCCCCTCTTCTTCATGTCTCTTCTTCATCAACATGTGTCCCCTCTTCTTCATGTCTCTTCTACATCAACATGTGTCCCCTCTTCTACATGTCTCTTCTACATCAACATGTGTCCCCTCTTCTTCATGTCTCTTCTTCATCAACATGTGTCCCCTCTTCTTCATGTCTCTTCTACAGCAACATGTGTCCCCTCTTCTTCATGTCTCTTCTCCATCAACATGTGTCCCCTCTTCTTCATGTCTCTTCTACATCAACATGTGTCCCCTCTTCTTCATGTCTCTTCTACATCAACATGTGTCCCCTCTTCTTGTCTCTTCTACATCAACATGTGTCCCCTCTTCTTCATGTCTCTTCTACATCAACATGTGTCCCCTCTTCTTCATGTCTCTTCTACATCAACATGTGTCCCCTCTTCTTCATGTCTCTTCTTCATCAACATGTGTCCCCTCTTCTTCATGTCTCTTCTACAGCAACATGTGTCCCCTCTTCTTCATGTCTCTTCTACATCAACATGTGTCCCCTCTTCTTCATGTCTCTTCTACATCAACATGTGTCCCCTCTTCTTCATGTCTCTTCTACAGCAACATGTGTCCCCTCTTCTTCATGTCTCTTCTACAGCAACATGTGTCCCCTCTTCTTCATGTCTCTTCTACATCAACATGTGTCCCCTCTTCTTCATGTCTCTTCTACAGCAACATGTGTCCCCTCTTCTTCATGTCTCTTCTACATCAACATGTGTCCCCTCTTCTTCATGTCTCTTCTACATCAACATGTGTCCCCTCTTCTTCATGTCTCTTCTACAGCAACATGTGTCCCCTCTTCTTCATGTCTCTTCTACATCAACATGTGTCCCCTCTTCTTCATGTCTCTTCTACATCAACATGTGTCCCCCTCTTCTTCATGTCTCTTCTACAGCAACATGTGTCCCCTCTTCTTCATGTCTCTTCTACATCAACATGTGTCCCCTCTTCTTCATGTCTCTTCTTCATCAACATGTGTCCCCTCTTCTTCATGTCTCTTCTTCATCAACATGTGTCCCCTCTTCTTCATGTCTCTTCTCCATCAACATGTGTCCCCTCTTCTTCATGTCTCTTCTACATCAACATGTGTCCCCTCTTCTTCATGTCTCTTCTCCATCAACATGTGTCCCCTCTTCTTCATGTCTCTTCTTCATCAACATGTGTCCCCTCTTCTTCATGTCTCTTCTACATCAACATGTGTCCCCTCTTCTTCATGTCTCTTCTACATCAACATGTGTCCCCTCTTCTTCATGTCTCTTCTACATCAACATGTGTCCCCTCTTCTTCATGTCTCTTCTTCATCAACATGTGTCCCCTCTGTGGAAAGAGACTCTGAAAGTTTCAGGAACAAAGATTCTCTCTCTTTTTGTCCTGATCCATTTCTATAAAAACCTGTCTGAAAATGAGCTGATCAGATTTTGGCCACTTTATGATGTCATAAATGTTTTAAAATTGCTAACGCATACATTGAAAAAGCCCTGTTATGGTCTCAAATTAAACCTGAGGACCCCAAGGCTTTACAGGCCTTTGCATTGTACTTAAGAGGATGCTGTAATGCAATGGAGGAAATCACCTACATGGAGGAATTGGATCTTTCTTCAGATCTTAAATCCTTGATTACAAAGTTACCATACAAACTCAGAGAGAGGTGGCGATCAGAAGTCTACAGGCTAATGGAAAGGCGGCACAGCAAGGTCAAATTCAGCGACCTTGTCAAGTTCATTGACCATCATGTACAAATATTAACAGACCCTGTGTTTGGCTATATACAGGACCAAACTGTCAACACAGCAAAGCTGGGCTTCAAAGCAAGTATTAACAAGAGGCCAACATCCACTAGCAGCAGCTTTGCCACCAGTATTACAAACATTGACTGCCAGTCCACATCTCCCCAGCCTCACAGCAGCACCTCTCAAGCTTCCTGTTTGTACTGTTCAGGTGGACATACAATGGATGCATGTTTCTCACTCAAAAAGAAAATGCACAAAGAAAAGATAAGCTTCATAAAGGAAAGAGGAATCTGCTTTGGTTGTCTTGTACCAGGTCACATGAGCAAAAACTGCAATAACTGCTTAACATGTAAAGTGTGCAACCAATCTCATGGATATCGTGGTCACTACACGGTTCAAGTGTGAGCTTCCAGTCCCAGTGCATTGTGGAGATATGACCTTGTACATTTCAAATACCCCAGATCCTGCAGTCATTTATCTGAAGTGTACACTTCAGATAAATGACTGCAGGATCTCAGGTATGCAAAGTGGACAGGTAGGCGAGAAAGGCTTTTTTGAGTCTCAGAGACCAAGGTCCTGTACACTTCCCATACATTGACTGCACAACTTCAGGTCTGCGATGTGGACAGTACACCTCAAATACATCACTACACAACCTGTGGTATTTGAAAATAAGGGAATGATATGTCTATAATATGCTGCAAAACACTACAGATATGCAGGGTTGCGAGTCTGTTTCTAAGGCCATTTTATTTTTGGAAGTCTGATCATTTTAACAAGAGAATAGGATCAAACTGAAAACATCGTAAATATGTTCTAGATACATGAATCATTGGTTCTTCTTTTAGACCAGAACAGACTGCTAACTCAACAGGAACTATCAAAAACATCCCAATCAAAGTTTAAAGTCACAACATTTTATTAACCAAACAGATTATTGGAGAAACTACTCTGCAGATTAATGAACAGTGAAACGAAATTCCTTCAATGCAGCTTAACGAGGCTAGCAGTTGAGATATGATATTTAAAAAAAAAAGGAATAACAAAGTATAGTAGTATAACATTTCTTTATAGATCAGGAACCATTACAATTAAATCAGGAGAAGCAGCATCTCTGTGGCCTTGTGTTGGCATACTGTGAACGCTGGTTAGAACATAAACAACTGTTAGTCAGACTTCAATTCAGAAAGACTCTTACAATATAACTACAGCTCTCAGGACATCAGGAGGAGGAAACAGCTAGCTTGGCTCTCATAGTTGTTCAAAACGATGCAGTGTGGATTCGCTCGTGGACTTTAAGGTGAATACTTTAAGAAAAAGATTTCGGTACCACTTTACAATAAGACTACCCTTATAAAGGGTTTACGAATAGTTTGTAATTCATTATTAATTAGGTTGTGAACACTTTATAAATCATTAATAAGCTTTTATAAGACATGAGATATACAGGGCAACTGTGACCGGTTGATTGCCAAATAGTGAGCCCACATGTATCCGTACTGCCAAGTCTTATATTGGCTACCTAGCTTACTTCGTCTCCTTCATCAGCCAGCATCCTTGGTATCTGTTGTTCACTGAGTTGATTCTCGCTAAGTAGCCAATATAAGGCTTAGTCATCTTGCCAAATAGTGAGCCTGTGTTGATGTATGAAAACTATGTTAGAACTGGTTTATAAATGGTTCGTAATGATTAATAAAGTGTTTACAACCTAATTCATAACCTAATTATAAACCCTTTATGAATCCTTTATAAGGCTAGTCTTATTGTAAAGTGGTACCAAGAT